GCCTGTGCTGCGCTGGGTGGAGCCCCGGCCTGACCGCTGCGCATTTGCAGGTGCTGCTGGACATCTTCACTGGGGTGCGGCTCTACCTGCCACCCTCCACACCAGACTTCGGCCGTCTCAGACGCTACTTTGTGGCATTCGATGGGGACCTGGTGCAGGAATTTGACATGGCCTCAGCCACACATGTGCTGGGTAGCAGGGACAAGAACCCTGAGGCCCAGCAGGTCTCCCCGGAGTGGATTTGGGCCTGTATCCGGAAACGAAGGCTGGTGGCCCCCTGCTAGGACTGCGGCCCTCCCTCGCCCTTGGCCACACACGCTCTGCTTCATTTGGGGGTGAGCCTGGGCCAGCAGGCGAAGGCAAGAACACAGTGGTGGGGCCTGGGGGAGGGTGGCGGTGGGGGGTGGGGAAACGGCCTTTCTTCTCCAAGCTGTGCGTCTTCCAGAACTTACCAGCTGTGGTCTCTTCCCAGCCAGGACTTCATGGCTGCGGGTGCCGCCGGGGAAGTCTGTGTCTCCTGCTGGTTTACATAGATCTTTCCGATCTGGGTGCTGGTTTGGTTGTATTTCCGTTTTCTTTAAAAAAAAATTTTTTTTTTTCTATAAATAAAAATACCTTTCAGTTACCCGGTCCTTCACCCCTTCTCCCCCGTAGGCCCCCCTAGTGGTCAGGCACGGAGTGACGCTGAGCTGTTGAAGCTCAGAGCACAGCCACCTGCCCCTTCACTTGCAGGCTGGTTTTAAAGTTGTATTTAAAAGACTGCTCTCAGAAATGTTATTATTTGGCAAGACTGTATTCAGCCTGGCCCTTTTTGCCAGGAATGTAGCCTCCTTTGAAAGAAAACAAAATGAATTTTATGACTTAATTCTCTGTGTTCTCCTCTTACAGGGTGTGGGTCCTGGTTTGAAGGGAGGGAACCAGGATCAGGTAGGAAAACAGGGCTTTATAAGAAATGGGAGGTTATTGGAGCTACTCCTCTGGGAAATACAGGACTCCAGGAGGCTCTGCCTTCCCCCACATTTGGAAACAAGACTGGTCTTTAAGATAAAAAACCCACTCAAGGACAAAACCTATACGGCCTCCTTACCAAGAAAGGCTCCCATGCCACCCGAGGCTGGTTTATTGGAATAAAAGGAAAACAGTTCCGTGGAGAGGACTGTATTCAGTAGAACTTTCCGTGGCAATGGAAACACCTTGTAGATCTTCCCTGGCCAAAATAAATGAGGCACGCGTAGCCACCTATCAGGTGCTCAGCAGCCGACACGACGGAAGAACTCAAGTTTTGGTTTTACCTCGGCCTTCCAAGGTCACGTGGGGCTAGGAACAGCCACGCTGGCTGGCGCAGCACCAGGCCTGGTTCACACCTGAGTTCTTGAGCGTGTGACCCTCTGTCCCTCCCAGAGGCGTGGGGAGAATGGCCCCTAAATCCACAGGCTGCTGCCAAGAGCGCACGAACGCTGGCCGCTTCACGGGACGCAGCCAGCACGGGCCTGGCTCAGTCATGTCAAGCTGGGACAGGCTCCTCAGGTGGTCTCCTCGTTCCAGACTGGCATCCGGGAGTTCAGTTCTGCTGACTCTTTATAGAGTCCGTTCTCTTTTTTCTTACTAGCAACAGGTTGTCAGGCTCATTTGTCCATCCCCTGTGAGTTAAGGTAATGAGTCTCAACTTCCGGAACACGCTTGAGTGGGCCTGTAAGATGGAGTACCACTACCTCCTCCAGGGTGCTCAACTAAGCCAGTATTCTACTGGGAGGCTGCTAGTCAGACTAGAGGCCAGCCCTAACCCGATCTGGGGGTCTCTACCTGCCCGTTAAGATGTGTTGGGAAGAGGGAGCAGGAGGGATTGGTACTGCCCTGACTGGCCCAGCACACTGGTGTTTTTGAATAGGCACCATTCAGTCTAGCGAGAGTACGGAGAATAAGACTCCCTTTATTCTCTCCTTTGCAGAGACAAAAGCCACTGCTTTGAGCACTGACCTACATAAATTTCCATCCCCCTCTCCAGCCTCCTCAAGCCAAGCTGCCAGATGGGGCAGCAGAACAAAGCATCCCCCCTGGCATTCTGCCAGAGGACACTGCCCCTGCCCTTTGACCCCACTGCCCCAGACCCAGCCCCACCTGTCCTGACATGTGGCTTACACTTAGGATGCACGCTCGCAGCACCAGGGCCCTGCCAGCCACTGGGGAGCAGCTCAGTAATGAGTTTGGCCCAGAGGCCCTTTCTGGCCTCGTTGGGTGCTCTCTCCAATTCCCTGTTGAAGGTGTTAGGTCTCTTTCCTTCTGGTCTTCCTCAGGAGTGTTCTCTGCTGCCGAGATTATACTGTCTATACAATTCTGTATTTCCGTGCCCTGCCCCCACCAGGCAACAGCATCTTAAACCTCCCCAGCACAGTGCTCAAGGCCTGCCCACCTTTGGACCTTTGTTTACATGCTGCTGGTTGACAGCGGACAGTAGGTCGTCCTGGGTGCCCAGTAGAGGACAGAATGCTGCAGCTTAACCTCAGCCCTTACTGCCTCCAGGCAAGATTGTTTCCTCTTCTCGCCTCAAGTCCCAAGGCAGATCTGCACATAATCTAGCTCTCCCCACACAGGCCTGTGCCACACAGCTGGGCTGGGTCAACCTCTGAGCCACACCAACTGTACAGCTGTATCCAGAAGCTTCCATCCCTGGGGTTACCTGAAGACTTAACTGAACACATTGGCTCTCCTCAGATTCCTTTCTACCCACATCTCTAAGGCCCATCTCTACAAGGTCAGTATCAATGTCTGATCTCACTTGTAATTTCTTCTTTAGTGCTAAAGCTGGTCCTTTCGCTACACAGCTACCATCCTCTTCTAGGCTGTTCCATGGCAGCTCCCACATACTAGTTGTGAGATCTTGAACAAGTCAAAACACTGCTGAACTTCATTTCCTCATCTGTTCAACAGGAGTATCCACATGGCCACCTGGCCCAGGCACCTCCACAAGTAATGCAGTCTGTCAAGAGCCTGGGCTCAGCCTGTGGGCCCTCAGCTCTGTCAGTCTTGACCTCTGGTGTCCTCCCACCAGATCAGACAGGTATCTCCAGTGAAATTTTATTATAAAATTATAAAGCAGAGCTCTGTAACAAAAAATACACATCTGGGTTTAACACCCACGTAAGTCTGAGAGAATCTTAATATAAGCCACTTGAAATACCACATTCACATCTGAAAGATTTCAACAAATTTTATACAATATATATTGTGCAGACTCCTGCACAGCTTCTGGGTACGAGCTTGGATCCAGCTCTTCCAGGGTACTGAGAACCAGTCAGCTCTCCCAAGTCTTAAAACAAGTCTCAAAACGATCACAGCCAAAGCTATGGAATAATTGGAAGAATTAAGATGTTTCATGATAATTAAGACCAAGGATCCATGAGGGGCAAGGGAGAGCACTTGGAGATAAAAATCAAGTTTTCCACCTAGATTGGATAGTAACTGAAATGGGATCTTGGAATTCCCAGCCTTTATTTGGTGTAATAATGATGAACAACAAATCAGGGTGGTTTGACATCTTTTTTCCTGAATGGAAACCTTCACCGAGATCAAAAGACTTAAAGGCAAGTTTTTTCTCCAAAATGAGCAAATGATAGCCGTTCTAATTCTTACTGAGGTTACTAACCAACCTTCAGGATATTATTTTTAACTTCTGTCTAGGAGGGAATGTGGGAGGTAGGAGAGGTAAGGCCTCAGCAGTGAAAGCAGGTTTTAAGTAGGGAGAGAGCCAGCTTCTGCCCTGAAGTTATTGCTAGATCGTAACTAAGTTGCATATATATGTGTATATATACACACACACACCTGTTACAGTGGAATCGAGAAGCAGCTGAATCCTCTGCTAAGCTGGCAGGCATTGTAAACGGTAGTGGGTACTGTCCAGCAGAAGAGTGAAAGGTCCTCATCGCAGACCTCGCTCTCGATTCCCCCGATTCCTACAAAGGCTGTCCCAGAATCAGATCATCCAGGACTTGGTGTAATGTCAAGGTAAGTGGCCTAGTGTGCAACCGACAACTGCTTTATGAAATAATTTCGTTCTTCCGAAGGGGAATAGTGGTTGGTGGGGGGAGGCCTAAGTATGTCTGTACCAATAAGCAGGTCCCCCTGGAGGTTTCCCACTGTTTTCCAAAGTCCTGACTGCTTCCAGTCTGTGAGAATTTGCACAGCAGGGGGAAAAGGTAGCAAGTGGTCTGCTAAGGCCCTCTGGAGCTTAGGGATTGTGTAGTTCACCCCCGGGGAACGGCAGCACACACAGCTCTTCTGATACCACATGTTCTTGGCCTTGCTGCTCCAGCAAACTTAAGCCCTTTGGCTCTTCCAGTGGTAGACCCACCCTAAGAGGGCTGGAGAATATGCTTCTTCTAGACCTCCCCTCAAATCAGTAGGCTAAGGAAGGAAATGGGAGCAGGGAGTCCCCGCTAACCTAGGGAATCAAGACTTGCAGCTGTCTGCCCCAGGGTTGAATCCAGTCCCATCCAGTATCCTCCAATACCCCTTAGGTGTTCAGTTCCGGTCTCCAGGAACTTCATGAGAAGTGTGGCGAGAGAAGAGCAAGGCTCTTCGCCTTAGTCTCTGTGCCTTGGTGAGACCATGTTTAAAACCTCCGTGGGAGAGGGACTTCATTCCCAGGGGAAAGTGGTCTGCAATTCCTTTGTGTTGGAGAAGTCAAAATTAAGCAGTTTCCACCCAAAACTTTCCCTTTTCTTGTAAACTAAAATCCAGGGTGGCGCACAGGCCCAAGAGCACCAGAGCTCGATGCCCGTGCCATCTCTCACACAGACTTAAGCTTCCCTGCAGATGCTTTGCGGCCTCCCAAGGTTCAGTCAGGAGACTCCTCGCTTCCAATCCCAGCACTTCAGGAAGCAACTCTAAATGACTCTGCAATTTTCCAATAGCATTCGTGTTTCATTTCTCACCAGAGAAAAGGTTTACTGGTCCAGATCTAGTCCTAAGGAGGATCACTATTGGTCTGGTAAGCTAACATCTTTTTGGTCTGAAGAAACAAATTTTAGGCAATGTAGCAAGAGACTAGCAAAGCTGGTTAAAGCACAGAAAGCCAGAGACCAGAAATAAACCCAAATGTGCTGGGGAGGAAGAGAACCATTTCTACCAGGACCTCTGACGGCTGGAACACAGGTGGCTCAGGGATGGCCGGGGTACAGGGGGAAGGGGGAAACTGTTAGGTTTACAGAGGAAGGGAGGAAAATCTGGTCCAAGTTCTGGAAAATCCTCTCTTCGTCAATTACCATCATTACCCCAAGATCACTGGAACAGGGACTTGCCCACACGATCTGTACCAGTTCCCACCGGCCTCGGGCTCCGCCAGCCAAGAGGTGCGCCGCCGAGGTGGGACAGGCATGCCCAGAGGTGACCGCATCTTTGCTTGCAGATTCTCTTGTTAGCCTGCCCCTCTGCAAGCTGGTCTTTCTGGAGCCCAGACCCTTCCAGCTCTGTCCCTGTAAGGCACTGAAGAAGCCGGCACCGGCCCTCAGGATCTGAAGACGTGCACGGCTCGGATCACATACTGCCGACAGATGGGACACTCATTCATGCGCTTGCCGCACTTGGTGCAGGTGACCATGTGACCGCACTCCAGCAAGACACAGTCAATGGGCGAGTCCATGCAGATCCTGCACAGGTTCTCCTCCATGCTGGGCGGCACTGCTCCACCTGGCGGGGGGAGGGGCGGCAGGGAGAGGAGACTGTAAGTGCAGGGGGCAGCAGGGGGACAGAGAGAAGGGGCATGCTGAGGGTGTGCTGAGGACACCCCAAATCCACACACTGCCCTCAGCTAGAACTCCAGGAACCAGCCCCACCTCTCCTGGCCAGGCTGCAGATGTGGATAATAAAGTACTTAGAGATCAAATACAACCCAGAAGAGGACAGCTAAATAAGGCAAAGTCCTCAAAGCTTCAAAGAGTTGCGGCTGTAATATGGTGAGTAAGTGGCACTTAGGGACTCATTATCCCCCGAGGCCGAACATGCTGAAAAGATAAAAACTGGTTCCAAAAAGTGTGATACGATCGGAACTGTAGTGAATGGTTCTTGAAGGATCGCAAGGCTTCTCAGTCAACATATCCCCAACTGAATACAGCCAAGGATCCTGGGGGCTCCCTCCGTGTGCTGTCCCCCAGCCTTCCCCAGGGCTTCCTCTGAGAAGGCTGCCTAGCGGAAGAGCCCAGCAGAGATTACAACTCCCTCTTCTGTGCTCCCCCCACACCAGCTTCTCAACATGGGATTAAAAGGGCTTAACTATTGAGCTCCCCCACGACTCTTCGAGCTCCTTAATTCAACCAATTTGCTTGATTTCTGCAACTATATACTTAGCATTTGTTAGATGCTCTGAGGTCAGATCTTCCTCTTTGAATCTCTAAAATGCCAATCATGTGGTACGTGTTCTCAAAATGTCTGATAAATGAACATCTCTCAAGGGAGTCGTAACAGCTCACATTTGTGGAAGTCTGTGCCAGGCAGGGTCCTAAGAGTTTTGCATATTTAACTCTTTTTGAATCCTTGTGAAAACTATGAAGTAGGTACCTTATAGATGAGGCCACTGAGGCCAAGGAGTTAAGTGGCTGGCCCACGGACACACAGCTACTAAGCAGAGCCAGGATTTGAATCCAGGCAGGCCTCCTAGGCAAGTGGCCTGAGGACAGGGACTATCAAATTAGTATTAACTGCCCAGTGCACAGAATTCTCAATAACTTCTAGCTGGCTTATGTGAGCAAGGAGGTACAGAGCGTCTGGCCCACTAAAGTATGATACTTTAGTGCAAACACAGAAGAACCTTCATGTCCAAAAACCTAGCCATCCCTAGCATGTTTTAAATGGTAGCCTGAAGCCCCAGGTGGGGCTCCATGCTCAGTGCAGACTCGGCTTGAGATCCTCTCCCTCTCCCTCTGCCCCTCCCTCTGCCCTGTGTGTGCATGCATGTGCGCCTTTGCTCGCTTGCTCTGGCTCTCTCGTCTAAAAATAGTAAAATCTTTCAATGGTAGCCTGAACCAGGGAGCCACAAGTAGGGAACTGGTTTCATACCAGTCACCTGTCCCACTCCACAGGGGAATTCTCTGTCCTCTGCTGCTTGGCATTTTCTCCTACTTCCTGGACTCTTCAGAAAGTCCGCACTTAGGGGAGGCTTCGGGATTTATCAGCTGGAAGACTCTGCCCCATTCTGAGCAAAAGGCCATTTTGCCAAATAACAAACTTGGAGTCTTCTGAAAGTTTTAAAATGGTTTGCAGGCCCCCAACACTACTCTGAGGACATTCTTTCTCGGGGGAAGAGCTCACAACCATATAGCCTTGAAGCTTTCAAAAAGAAATGAGGCCTGGACCCAGCTGGATGCCTGCAGTGAGTCCTGGGGTCCTTGAAGCTCCTGTGGTGGTCTCGAGCACACAGGTGGGGGTGTAGCAGCTGAGGTGGTAGATGCGCCTTGTGCCCAGAAAGCACACAAGTGATCCCTTTCCTATTCAGTCCCCAGAGCAGCTCTAGCCACCGCCCAGCCCTGTACAAACAAGGCTCAGAGACCCTCTCCTCAGATGACGATGGAGTGAAAACCATAGGGGAAGGAGTGCCATAGCAGCAGAGGTATGAAAAATGAACTGAAGGTCACACATACCACCACTCACTTTGTTAAATGTTTTACAAATGCTTGCTCCTGAGCTCTGGCAACCCAAAGACCTGCAAATCAATCTGCCCCGGGTCAGCTGCCACTCTTCACCCTTCCCAGCAAGGCAAGAATGAGAATTTTTAAAGATGCTGAGAAGCCCTGCTTCTCTGTGCATTTCCCCCAGTTCTCTCTGTGGATGCCAGTATGCTCAGAATTCTTAGACTTTTAAGAGGAAGCAGGGTTGGCAGAAGGGAAAGACACAAGAGCTCAGAGCCTAAGCATGGTCCCAAGCAGAAGCAACTACATACCGTTTTGGTCTTCAGCACCACACACTGAAAAGGAAAGAGAGAGAAGAGGTAAGGAAAGTCTCCAACCAGCCTAACTTTTGCAGTCGGACTGCTTCCCTGCTTGGGAACCAGGCTGGCCAAGAGCCCGGCCAGACGCCTGCCCTCCTCTCACGTGCTGAGTGCTCACGCACAGCCCGTGCTGATATGTCTGGTCTGCTCTTAGAAAAAGGAACTCCACCGGTTCACATGAACAACACTGCCAAGTGGGCAGTACTGTATGGGCACGGTACCCTTCTATGTCACTTGAAGCCCACATTAAAGGCAAGGAGAAAGGAACTGTCTGTTCCAGTCAGCCAAGAAGTCGGGATGAAGTTCCCAGGTGGGGCCATGTCCTATTCCCCCAGGACCTCATAACTCTGGAGATCCTGGGGACAACCCCAAAGGGAAAAGTGAGTCCGTGACTAGATGACTGGTCAGACATCGTCAACTCTGACGAACCAGTGGGATAGGAGAGCCTGAAATCGTACTTCAACCATTAAAGTTAAACACACTCCTCTTCTGTAGAATTTCTCTGCCTTTACTATCTACCCTAGAGACCTAGTTTTTCCCCCCAAACTTATTTAACCACAAACCCAGACATCTTACTGGGCATCGCCGGAAAATGACACCGTGTCGAATGCTTTGGGAAACGACCATAGGGAAAGCCCAGGCTCAGGCAGCATATCTGTATTTCCCTCGTACCATGGGTTCATTTCCTCATCTCCCAGCTGTTGAGAACAGCATTGCTGTGGTGCTAGCGGTTATGGCGGGGTGGCACGAGGTGGGAAAGGCTACAGATTCAGTCCAGGAACTCTTCAGTGCAAACCCGGGCTCTACAATAAAAGGGTAATGCTAGGGGCGCCGGGGTGGCTCAGTCAGTTAAGCGTCCACTCTTGGTTTCAGCTCAGGTCATGAGCCCCATGTTGGGCTCCACATTCAGGAAGGAGTCTGCTCAAGATCCTTTCCCTCTGCCCCTCCCCCTACTTGTGCTCGTATTCTCTCTCTCCCTCAAATCTTTAAAAAAAAAAAAACTGCTAATAATGCCTATTTCACAGGCAGCTCTGAGGACTGGATAAATGTTTACGGGGCTTAGCCTGGCCCCAGCACTCAACTTCAGAGGGCAGCTATTAGCCGGTGCCAGGGTGGAAGGTGACTGCTTGCTCGGCCAAAAGCACAGAAACCTAGTCAGGGCGATGCTGCCGTGCCGCCTGGCAGCGCCTCACCCAGGTGCTGGAGCCCCTTCTGGTCCTTGTACAGCCGCGTCACCCTCTCCATCAGCTCCCACTTCTCGCAGCAGCCCTTGTAGTTGACGAAGTTGCGCGCCAGGATCTCTTTCAGCTGCCGCACGGTCAGACCTTCGATGTCCTCCAGGTCGGTCAGGTCAGACAGGGAGGCCCTCCGGCCCGGGACGAAGCTGTCCTCTGAGTCGACAGACTGCAATGGCAACGGTGGGATTGGTGGGCTCAGCTTCCCCCTCCCCAGCTCTCTCTCCGAGGACCCCAGAGCATTCCCCAGGCCGTGCCCAAGGGGACTGACCTCAAGAAGAGCAGGAGCAGAGGCAGGAAGAAACCCGGCGCGGCGCTCTGCAGAGCCTAAGAGACCACAGTCTCTTCCTGACCCGTGGGCCTGGGCTCGGGCACAGCCAGCCCCCAACCAACCGATCGGTGTGACGAGTAGAAGAGGCACCAGTGTGAGTCCCATGGCCCTGATTTTGACTCCTCCTCGGACTGATGCTAAACACTACGGAGCGAGTTGCTCACCTCCCTCAGCCTATCTGCGCGTCCATACAGGAGACCTGGCAGTCCTGCTGCACTAGGTCCTGTAAGGACTGAATGTAGCAGCGCAAGAAGCCAGCGAGCACGGTGCTGGCCTCTCCTCTCCTCCCTGGACAGACTTCTGCTTCCCTGTGGGAGATGCAGACTTCCCTGTGGGAGATGCAGACTTCCCTGGTGAGCACTCCTTTGTACGCACCCTCGACCATGGCTTCGCCGCCCCGCTGGCGGTAGCATCTGACTGCCCTACCACGGCTGAGGCCCAACTCCCACGCAGCCTTCCTCCTGATTCTCTGACCTCTTTCCCCGACGATGGTTACTGTGTGCTAGCAGCAGGACAAGATTTGCACAGCAGCACCAGCAGCTTGCCCTGTGGCAGCTTACAGCAAGCCAAGACCCTAGAAACTAAGGGGCCATGAAGCTCCCTGGTCTCCACTGTGAGCTCACCACTCTGCCCTAATGACTGACAGCTTCAGAGGCTAACGTGGAAAGCTAACACTAAGTCCCACCCCTGAAAGCAGAACTGAATGTAGGACTATCACCACACACAGATTCTTCACCACCTCTGAGTCTGCTGCAAGGGGCCTATTCACAGCCTAATACCAGCAGAGAAAGAGCAAACGCAAAGGCGCAGACCGGAGCACAGGCCCCACCTGGGTCTCCTCCTCAGCAGGTGCTCTGGCTGTGCTCTCCAGGTAGACAGGTTCCTCTTGGTCCTGAGACACATGGCCATTGGCCTGTGGGAAGAGAAAGGTGCCATCACATGCACAGAGATGCCCCAGAGATTCACACAGTGTGGGCCTCTGCCCAGCTCATTCCACATCCAAACATGTTCCCATTTCCCCAGGAATCTGGTGTCTCGAACAACAGCATTACAGAAGCCTGCTCCTTAATACTGACTTTCTTGGGCAGAGACACAACACAAACAGATTTCAACTCTAAAACAAGAAGGTCACTAACTGTGCTCCCCACCAGAATGGCATGAGCAGCCAGTCACGGTCGATGTGGTCTCCGCTCGAACAGTCGGGAGCGAGAGGAAGAGCACATATGCATGCCACTGCGGGACTGCTCTCGAACTGCCATCCGGCTTCTCCTGGACATTGAGCCCAGACCGCCCTCCCTGTAACTCCCACTCACCGTCCTGGGCTCTGCCCCTATCAGTAATGTCCACTATTTTCTTAGAGTGTCCATACCGTGTCTTCCTGACTCCAAGCTACATCTCCCTGGCTTCCCTGAGACAGTTCTCAGACCCTCACCACTCTGCTCCCTCTCCTGCATCCAGTCACTGCTCTCACATTCTAGAAATGGCTCCAATCAGCAGTGCACACTGTTACTAAGAACGATCTTGAAACCTGATAAAAAAAATTATTTTAATGCACATAAGAATCTATTAGCCTAAAACTATAAAGACATAGACGTCTTACACTTAAGGAGTTTAGAATTTTACCTTCGCAAAAAGTTTTGCCAAATAGTAGTTCAAACTGTGAGCCTCCTCATCCCATCACCATTTAAGCCACAAACCCCTTCACTAGACCCTTTTCATCTCTTCTTTACCCTCCAGGTAAAGGGTCTGGTGTGAGCCTGCAGCAAAGACATGTCTGAGCTCACAGGCCTTTTCTCTAGACTCTCGGAACACCAATAAGGGAATAGTCCAGGAAACCAGTTATCTGTGGCCCCAACCACTCAGCCCATATTAGGTTGCCTAACACAGAGCCGGTCAAGAAGAGGCAAATAATTACAAAGGAAATGGAAGCAGAAATCCCCACCATCATCCACAATGCCAAGTGGTGAGAAGAGCACACAGAGCGTACATGTATGGGGGTGCGTCCAAAAGTGTCTTCGTCAACACCTCTAGTTTCCCCTTAGCTTTATCGAGACGAGGCACCCACCAGTCCCCCAGGTGTCGCCCTGGAGTACAAAGTCTCTGCGAGTCTAACCTGTTCCTAAGTAGATGGCTTCTTTAAGTACTTTTCTTCCCAGGAAGGGGAAACCGGATCTCCCACTACAAAGCATGCTCTTGTCTCTTCAGTTCGCCCACTGGCTAAATTAAAATCCCTCAAATTTTATCTGCCCAAAATTTTGCTTATTCCACCCACCTCCTTCCCTAGCAACCACTGCCAGGACACCAGGGGTCAGGGAAAGAAATCTGGGGGAGCAGGCGCCCCGGGCAGATGTGCATCCTAGGTGCGGGTAGCCTGCGCAAGCCACTTGACCTCCCCACGCACGCCTGTTCTCCTGGCTTGACAAATGCAGATCTCAGCAGCATGGACGCGAGCAGACACCAAGGCCCTCTGAAAGTACCATGGAAGGACCCGATGAGATCTGGCGCATGCATGGGTCCTGTGGGTGCAGTCTGGAATTTCTGGTGAGCATCAGGAAGTTTCAAACCCACTGCTTTCATTGAAAAATCCACCGGAAGGTTCTTTAGGGAAAAACAATTTCCTCAAGTTACTCCTTGGGCTCCCCAAAAGCAGAGAGGAGCGCTCCACCGCGCTGAGGCGGGGACGCTGCACAGGAGGCAGACAGAGCCAAGCATCAGGAAGAGTTCACCTGGGGCTGGGAGAGAGCACAGCACAGGTGCCCAGGGAGCTGACAAGTCCCCACAGGTGAAGGATGCATCGCCCTGGCCTTTTATGCCTCCACGCCCACCAGAGCTGAATCAGGGGCCCAGTCCTGACAAGGGAGGGGTCATAAGCCAGAGGCAGCAGCCAGCCATGGCGTGCAGGGGAGCAGACAACACTAGGTAGGGCAGTGCCAGCTGGAAGGAGCTCACGGCTTTTCAGACGTGCTGCCCCACAGGCCCGCCCTCCTGAGGGCCTGGCAGGAGCCAAAGTGCCCTGGGGCTACTGACCCTGTTTCAGTGCTGAAGGCTCAGAGCTGGCCCAAGGCCACCAAACAGCAACAGACTGGATGTGGAAACCCGATCCTCGAGGTCCGAATGCCCCGGCCACAGCCCAAGCCGTATACACTGGAGGGTCACTGAGGCACTGAAGTCTGTCTACAGGACGCCACCAGTCCTCACACACTGCATACGTCTCTCGGTCTCTCTCAAACCCGGGAGCCGGTTTGCGCGTCTAGCGCCCCTCTCACAGGGCCCTTCTGATGGCGCCCACCGTTCCACACACCCCATGCCGGGCTCGCAGTTCAGAGAATGGGCTGCTCTTCGCTGACCATTCCGGAGGCCCCTGGGACGATGACCAGGCAACTACCGTTCAACGTCATGCCGACCATGACCTGACCCAAGCGGCGACTGGCCACAGGAGCCGTGCCCCCCGCTCTCCCTGCCCTCCCTCTGTGCCCTGTGTCCGTTACAGAGGACCACAGCAAAGGTGAGCAGGAGGCCAGCCCGAACAGAACAAGTCTGGAGAGTTGACATGAGTTTTCTCAAAATACTACTGGAATGGTGAGTTTAAAAAAAGGACTAGCTGGGATAGGTTCGTATCAAAAACATACAGAAACCACAAAAATACCTGGTACTGTGCATGATCATCTCGGGAAAAAAAAACCCAAACAGGCCCAGAAGACATTCCTGCATCAGGAGGCAGAAGGGCCTCACACAATCGAGACGCTGCCCCCACCCCCCAAATGCAGGCAGGGGAGCCAGCTGAGCCAGCACAGCGGCGGGGACGGGCAGGCCCTGCAACCCGGGCGTACCTGCTGGCTTTCCTGAGCCTGGGCGGGGGGCACAGAGGTGGCTTGTGCGGGCGAAGAGGGCAGTCTCGCCGAGGTAGGAGGTACTGTGCTGGCCTGAGGCTGCGTCCGGAAGGCCTGGTGCTCGGGGAAGTCCGGGGACAGGGTGGGGGCGCGAGTCCTGCCCTCCTGAGAGATTACAGGCTGCTGGCCAAGCACCAGGAGCACCAGCTCCTCTTTCTCCCGGCACATGTCGGTAGAGACGTCATGGAGGCTGAGATAGTCCCTCAGGTCTTTCACCTTCATCTTCATGAGCTCCTCCCGCTGAAAGGCGGTGGCTCGGACTCGCTGGCAGAGGAGGCAGAGGCGGGGCCCGTTCCCCACTTGGCTCAAACAGGTCATGCAGAAATTTTTCTTGCAGTCGAGGCAGGTCTGCTGCTTAGACCAAGAGGCAGAGGAAACCATGTCAGACTGAGAACAAGTCAGAGCAGGAGGGCGGCTCAGGGGTGCTGTGCCTGGCAAGGCTCCCCCGATCACTCCTGCTGATACGAAGCTACCTCCTGTATGTCAGGGTGCAGACTGCCTCGACTTCCGGTTCAGCACCACTACATTCAGTGTTCCACTGAGACTTATTCTTTCCTTGCCGAGTAACAGAAGCTATTAATTATGACTACCAGCTTTAGAATCTAAAAAGCCCATATTTTCACTTAGTCTCCCTCCTTTTTTTTTAACGTAATTTTTTTTTTTTTTAGATTTTTTTATTTATTTGACAGAGAGAGATCACAAGTAGGTAGAGAGGCAGGCAGAGAAAGAGGGGGGAGCAGGCTCCCCGCTGAGCAGAGAGCCCGATACAGGGTTCGATCCCAGGACCCTGAGATCATGACCTGAGCCAAAGGCAGACACTTTAACCCACTGAGCCACCCAGGAGCCCCTCCCTCCTTTTTTTTACGGTGTCACCTTAGGTGTGTAATTTAGCCTCTCTGGCCCTCGGTTTCCTTATCTGTAAGATGGGGGTGATGACAGTACCTGCCTCAGGAATGCCATACAGTTAAGAGGCCATGCATTTAGCGTATGTGATTTCTTCAGTAAAGTATTAACTCTTTTCATTATTATTGCTAGGGAATGAGAGCTAATTTGGAGAGCCAGTATTCAAATCCTGAACTATGATTCTTTCTACTTTATTGCTGAGAAAAGAAAGCAAATGCCTAAGTACAGTGGTGGTTATTATTAATATTGTTGATTAAATTTATTGAGAGGCTACTCTTTGCTAGAGCTTGTCACTTAACTTTCAAAGCAACCCCACAAAGTATTACTCTATCACTGTATCATGTATTAATGTACACCATCACTAATAATTAGTAATGTGCCTCCCTGTTGCACAGACACAGCAAACGCAGCCTAGAGAGATGAAGCATCGCACTCAAGGGCGGGCAGGAAACAGCAGAGCTGGGGTTCACACTCAAAGCCTGTCCCTGTGGAATGCCCGCAGTCAGGCCCTTTCCACCAGGCCATGCTGCCTGACTCAGCCCCGTCCAAGCGACGGACAGCAGGACCCAGCCCAAGGTCCCCACCCGGAGTCCCATCCACAGAGGCAGCGCCCAGGCTCCCCACCCCAGGAAGGCCCACTCGGAGTGCTGGGAATCCAGTGGCACATGAGAGCATATCCAAGACAAATACTCAGACAGCTAAGGCGGGGGGACTGGGAGAAAAGAGGGGAGCCTCTGGACACGACAAGGGAGCTCTCGTTTGTGCAAGCAGCGTCCTAGCCGCACAACAAGAGCACGCAGGAGGCAGGCTGTACCACAAGAACAGACACCACATCACACGAAAGCAAGCTCAACTCACAGGAAGCAAATCCTCAGCCTCTCGCGCCCCAGGCTGAGCCAGCACAGTGACATGGGACTGAGCTCTGCTCTGGTCAAGAGCAGGCCGCACTCGCACAGCAGAGGTGATTCCTGGGCACACTGGGATGGTCCCAGGAGCACACCGACTAGTCCTTTAAAGAAATGAACTTTTCAGCCTCCAGTGACTTGAGCGTTAACCTATTTCTCCCCCTCTCTTCTAACTATAGAAAGCGGAATGCAAACTAATAAGAATGCCAGGGAGACTGAGGTTCTCAGTGTCGCGATCAGACTCGAGTGTGGGGCCGGAGAGGTCCGCACAGCTGAGGCAGCGCTGCCTGGCTCTGCGCAAGCTTCCTGCACGTCAGAGGGAAACGGCAGAAGGTTCACCACCCAGGTCTGACTACAAATACTTAACAGGATTTCGAGAGGACATGTATCAAGCTCCCTCACTCTCTGCAGTTACAACCATACCATAAAATGTTCAGGGGCCGACTTAAAAGGACGCATGGGGCACGAGCATCGTAGTGGTTCTGGGACCTGGGGCCACTCAGGTGGAAAATGGACGTTTTGAGGTCTTGGGGGTTCATTTCTATCTGAAGCTTTTCTACTGGGAAAGGAAATGCGTTCAGGATGACAGAGTGCACCAAAGAGCCTTCAGTGTCAGATGCTGCAGGGCCTGTCCTGGAAAAGGACTTAAGTCCGTGCAGTCTGACAATACCTAGCCTGACACAACGAGAAAGCCCTGAGTTGGTGAGGGATGCCACAAATTCCGTTTGGAGGTATCTTTGAGCTCGCCAAGTAGACACCATGAGCAAAAAGCTCACCTTCCCGAGTTGAAAATATTTATGGGCAAGAAATTATCATTGAAATTAAATGGTGGCAGACATGTCCAAGGAATATTGTGGGGCTTCGATCCGTTTATGAATCTTGTGATAGACGAATGTGTGGAGATGGCAACAATACTGGGATGGTGGTAGTATGAGGAAATAGTATGATCACGTTAGAAGCCGTGGAATGAGCGTAAACAACGGCTGTGTTCATCAGAAGAATCAACTGCTTCCACATGTCCCCTCTCCATAGTACCTGTCTCCCTACAATATAAAATTCAGGTCGTGTGCATTCTCATATTGAATTTTTTTTGTTAAATAAACTTTTATAATAGTCAAAAAAAAAAAAAAAAAGTGCGTTGCTCAATCAGCCAGATCTGAACAACTCTCTGGTCTTCCCTCAAAGGCGGACAGCTCAGTGGAGGCAGGACCAGAACGGAGAGGTGACAACCAGCTTCTCGGCATCTCCAGCTCACCCCAGCTCACGGGGGACTCTGGAGTCAGCCGGCATCTGCACCACGCGCTCAAGGACTAGGACTGTGCTCCAGGTTGAAATCCCAGTCTGTGGAGGCAGGACAGGATAAAGGAGAAGCCAGATGTCAACACATGTGGGCAGAATGAGCGAAGGAAAGGCATCTGTCTAAACTGGAGCAAACTGTGCACACGACTGAGGAAGCTGGTGGCCTGAAAGATGAAGTGGCAGAGCCGACAGGCCTACAGACAGGCCTACAGAGAGGCCTGCAAATGCACCAAGAGGACAGACAACCTTCCAGCAGCAAACACCGGCTCCTCCTTCAGGGATGTCCCCCCGGGCAGGCTCTCCTTTGCTCCCCTGCCCTTCCCTCATTCCTACCCCCACCCCACACAAATTCCCCAGGGCAGGCCGGCTGGGGGCTCCTCACCAGCCTCCCTCTAGGCCCGCCTTCCTGCAGCCCAGGGAGGAGAGGGCCAGTGTGAGGAGTGGCAGTTAGGAATCATTGCTGGCCAGCCCCTTCTGAGCTAAGGGAACTCCTGCAAAACAGAGCACCTCCCGGGGCCTCCAATTTCTCCCTGGTCACGTCGGATGGCCAACCCACCTCTCAGGACCCCTGAAAGTATTATGGGACACGATGTGCCTAAACCCTTAGCATAAGGTGAGCACTCACCAAAAAAGGTAACATGGTCACCTTTGATTCCTTTTCCCCCTTTGTCTCCTGAGCTTTTGCCAGTGCTGCTCCTTCTCCCTGCCCCCTCTTTCTTTCCCCTGGGGAGGGGGGTTTCAAGACCACTCCCATGTTTCTCAGCACCACCTCCTCCTCTCCCACCACCAACTGGTCCAACTAAAGAGGCTGGACACCCCGCCCTCCTCCAAAACTGTCAGGGCGGCTGCTGAACTGCAGGGGAGGTGGGGGGGGAGTCTCACCAATACAGATGGGGTATTTGGCTTAGGGCAAAAATCCCAGTCGGTCATTCCCCTCTAAGACTAAAAATGCTAGGAAGGCAGCAGGTACCTCCTCCTTCTGTTCTCTCCAGACAGTCCTTAATGTTATCTGTGCTTTGTACTCAACGAGCACTCAGAAAATACTGACCACAATAGAGAAAGGACAGTGGGATCCATGTAATCATTTCCATTCAACCACTTCCAGAAAACACATGTTAAAAGCCTGCAGTTGTTATTTGCCAAACCCCAAAGATAAGAATTGCTGATTGACTTCAGCATGAAATTACAAAGGAAAAATTCTCATAGGGAAAAACATCCTTCATATTCACAAAATTCATTGTGAAATAAAATTAATTCATATTTCCATGTCAAGAAACTATCATGCCAATAACCATCTTTTACCATTCAAATTAGAACTTTTCTCTTTTTCCCACACCGCAAAAGCTCTTTTCGCTATAGAGGCTTTCTCCTTCTCTTTAGTTCCTTTGCTCAAAATCTTTCTCCAGCTTCCTCATTGTCTGGTGACTACAGGCTCCTTACCACAGCAGTCCTGGCCTCCGCCACCTGATCCCACCTTGTTCCGTCCCAACTCCCCGGGGTATCCTGCACTTGGCCAAACAGGCCATTCACAGTTCCCGAGTACACCTTGCACTTGCCCCACATCTGGTGTTTTCACTTCAGCCCCTGCTTTACAGATCAATAAAGGTTCCTTCTTCCAGCTAGAGTTATCTAAGGCCAGCTATGTCTGATTCCCCGGCATTTAATTTATATAGCTGCTATTAGATCTTTGTAAATGTGGGCCTCCTTACCCAACCAGGGAGCTCCCGGAGGGAAAGGCCGATCCAGCTCCGTCTCCACAAAGCTGTGTAACTGTCTAGCTGCGAGCACATTGCTGGTGCTATGGAATCAGGCCCGCACTGAAATCTTCAGCATGGAATTATCAACCACAATGTCATGAAAACAGAAACTCTCCAGCTTACTTCCTCTTTTGCAAATTGTTCTCAACTCAACTGCCCATTCCTTCCTTCCTTCCTTCACTTATTTTTATTTCTTCTAAGTGGGGGGAGGGGGAGAGGGAGAGAGAAGCTCAAGCAGGCTCTGTACCCAGCATGGAGCCCACCTCGGGTCCATCTCAATACCCTGAGATCATGACCGGAGCCAAAATGGAGAGTCAGACACTTAAACTGAGCCACCCAGGTGCCCCATCGTTTATCTATAAAACTGTATTGTCTACTATGTGTCAGTCACTGCTCTTCTAGACACTGGGGAGAAAACTGTGAACAGAATCAACAAAACCCCTGTTCTCTGTACCATCTAAAAAGATAGGCAGTCTGCAAACATTTATGTCAGGTGGTAATAGGCACTCTACAGAACAACAGAGCATCTCCCCACGTTTACCCACCCCCCACTCTCTTCTCTGGGGGCAGTTTCCTTGCTCATTCATTCTCTCTCCTGGCTGAGAAATGTCAAGAACTCCCTTGGTTCTCTCAACATACTTTTCTTTCTTTCTTTCTTTCTCTTTCTTTCCTTCCTTCCTTCCTTGTGATAGAGAGGCACAAGCAGGGGGAGCAGCAGGCAGAGAAAGGGGGAAGCAGGCTCCCCACTGAGCGGAGAGCCGAATGTGGGGCTCGATCCCAGGACCCTGAATTCATGACCTGAGCCGAAGGCAGACACTGAACCGACGGAGCCACCCAGGCGCCCCAACATGCTCAACATGCCGGCTTCACTGTCCTCTTCGCTCCTTCTCTGTTCCCCACTCCACAGAGTATAAATGGTATTTTTAAAAAAAGGTTCAAACCTACAGCAAATTCACGCTGCCTCATTTAAACAAAGGCCTTTCCTATTCCTTTCATGCCAGTTAGTTTGCCACTTCTTCCAGCAGTTGTTCCTAGCATTTCTCAGTGTAAAACAATGAAAACAGCAAGATCTTTGACTACCCGACAGAATCCAGATGCACCTGAGGAGTCCTTGAAATGACTATCTTAAATAAGAGAACAATTTCTTCATCTATAAAACAGGAAAAAATAATAGTATATATTTCACTAAGGGTTCAAAGGGAGGAGACATCTAAAATGCCAAGCTCTGTGCCGGGCATGTGATAAGTAGCCCCCGGGCCTCTCCCATCTCCTCTCAGATCTCAAAGCCATCCCCCCATCTTCATCCCTGAGAAGACTGAGGCCATGAGGTACCGAACTCCCACTAGTCCCTGCTTTGGCCTCCATCTATGAACTCAACCTTCCAGTGTAATGGGAGTGGCACGGCAGCCGGCCGAACCACAGCCCCCTGCCGCCCGCAGTGGCCTCTCTGGTTGTGTCCTCATGGTGACCAGGGCAGCCAAGCACATAGCGACAAAGCCCAGCTACGTGCCCACCCTCACTGCACTACAGCGAGGCGCGGGCAAAATGCCCATCCTCCTCCACCTTGTGGGTACAAAAGGGGGATTGGTGAGCGCTGCAGGAATTCAGACGTGCTGAATGTCTTCTGCGAGACAACTGGAGAGTTCAGAGAGCTGAGTTTGAGTCCTAGCCGTGTCATTTAACAGCCATGGGATCCTGGGCGACTACCTACATAGCCAGAAAAGGAGTTGTTTTTTGATCTCGTGTGCCATTTATCAGGAACTTGACAAAGACAGTTTCCTTCTTAACTGCTACACTCGAAACCTCAGTGTCTCATATGTACAGTGGGCGTTCAGGGATCCTAAAACGTCTATCATAGAGTTATTGTGAGGCTTAAGTGAAACCAAAAGATCTAAATTGCACACAACAGTCCCTGGCATATAGCACATGGCTTAAAAAGTAGTCTTTCTTCTCACATTTCCCATCATCGCCATCTTAACCTCCCATCTAGGACTGCAGACCTCTCTGTTCTGCAGAAGAATACAGAATGCGGGAACTCCCAGATCGGGATTCACCCTCAGCCCCAGTCGTGCTTGACCTTGGAGAACGTGCTGCCTCTGGGCACTGGTGCAGGGACGGCCCACACCCACACCCCATTACCCAGCCAGTGACATCCCCCACGGCTCACCAATCTGGAAACACAGCTATCGAGCATTTCCCACGAAATCGCTACAGTAAAGGAGCCCCAGTCTCTGTCCCGCTGGGGTCCTGCTGTACCTGAGGTGTCCCCAGCACTGCGTGGGATGCACAGAACAAGTTAATCTGCAGTGAGGCGTTCATGACGACAGCCAATGAAGGGAGTGACCCCACAGCCGGCTGCGCTGGTAGCCCAGGTCATGCTTTTCTCATGAGCCTGTGAGATGGGCGTGACTGCTGCATCCCCTTTTTAGAGATGGGGAGAAAGAACCTCCAGCAAGGTTAGGTCATAACAGCTAGTAAGCAGCGGAGCTAATGTCTGAATTCAGGCCTGTCTGGCTCTAGATCGATGCTAAGATGTTTTGCTTTTGACTAGCGTTCCTTTAACACTTTCGTGATAGTATCAGGTGTGGGTTACCTACCGGCACCACATGGGCCAAGGCAAGGTGGCAAGCATTACAGAGGGGTCAGTAGGCTTGCCCGAGGGCCTAGGTTGAAGCAAGCTTGCCAAGAAGGCCAAGAAGTCAACACTCACCTTCCTGGCCATGTTTGCGAAGTGGGCCCCACAGGCCTTGCAGCTTGGTTCCGAGCCCGTTGGGGAAGGGAAGGAGCTGTACCCAGGGTTGGAGTAGGCCTGCGTCCTGGCTCCCTGCGCCGGTGGGGCCTCCTCAGGCTGTCCATCCAAGCAGAACCAGTTGCAGCAGGTTGCCCACATGATAAAATCTGGTGTGAGGGAGGAAGGGGAGAAAAGTCAGGGTTAAGATACACCTTCGCTCCACTCCCCCACTTCCAGAGGGCACACGGGAGCTGGGATACTCAATCCACACCTGCTGCCCAAGTCGGGAGTCGAGGTGAGGACATGTTTTCAGGGGCCACAGATTTCTTGCCACCTCCAGCTTCACCACAATTGCCACCATTCCCGGGAGGAGAGCACAGACACCTGCTCCTCCAGGACAACGGGCTGCCAAGTTGGCGCACTACCTCTAAAAGGCAGCTGATCCCTGTTTTGGTTTAATCGGAGATCTAACTTCAAATAAAAACTTGCCTTAGCAATTAAAAGTGGCCTGAAACCCACTTTACTCAGGCCCAAGGACCTACTCCTAGAGTTCGGCGAAGATGGAACTTCATCAACTGAGTGCACGCGCGCACCGTGTGTGAGGCCGTATTCACACTGACCGCGAAGGGGGTATTACGATTTCCTTCACATAGATGAGGCCACCCAGGCTCAGAGAAGTCAGGGCCACACAGCTAATATACAGAGAACTGAGATTCTGAAGACCCAGGTCTTCTGACCCTAAACCGAACGTTCTTTTCTTAGACCATGCTGCTCCCCTTGATTTCCTCTCCTCCGGGCAGCAGCACGAACTACTCTTACCTGTACTTCCAGCCCTACCTACACCTCTCTGACAGCATCTCTAACGATTCATTGTACAGATGCTCTTACCCTCTGTCTCTTGCTCTGTCTGCGGCTGCTACACCGCACATTCTGTGAGGGCAGGGGTGACTCCTTATCCTCTCCTGCCGAGCAGCATCACGCACACAGAAGACACTCCGGCAATATCTGTGGCCTCGCGCAACAGGGGCCTCTGTGGCTTTATTAAGAAGTTATAGAATCTGATTCCCGTTTTACATATCAAATATGGGTACTGGGGACAAAGGGGCAGGTGATTTTTTAAGATCACAGAAGAAAATCCAATCCCTCAAATGTCAGAATAATCTACAGTTGCAAAGGGTCCACGGCGACGCCAAGCACTGCTGTGATACGAGTGTGCTTTTCTCAGTAGACCAAGGCAGTCAATACGTACATTCTGAGCCTGACCTCTCTGCTTACAGAGATAATAAATGACACATTTATGAGTGTTACTGCTCAATCATCAGTTCACACAAAAGCACGGTACCTTCTGCTCTGCCTCCTGACTCATGGAAAGCGCCTTTGTTAAATCGCAGTTCAGAGACGTGCTAAGCTAGAAAGCACTGACAACAAGAAGCCGGCCGGTTCAACCTTAGCCATCTCCCAGAGGAAGCCTGAAACCCAGCAGGGGGAACTAACCGCCTGGCTCCCACAGCTGTAACCTTAGTCTCGACGTCTCTCGGGCCTTTTTAGCTTGCAGCACTTCTCCACACTCCTGGTCTAGAATTCGTTCACTTTTGTGAGCATGTGCGACCCACACCTGTCTCCCCCGCTTGCCTGTGGCCCCTGTGTGAACGCGGACCACGACAGTCAGTGCCCAGCAGACAGGTGGCTCCACAAAGACTACTGAATCACACAATATGTGAATTTTAAATAACTGTGTTCAGTCCATTTCCTACACATCAACATTTATCTCTGACTCACTCTTAGTTGTCTAAAGCCTCCAACTTCCCAGAAGACAATTGCAATGAATAGTTCACATGGAATACCAAAGGAAAGAGCAGTTAACCAGATGAGTTCTGTTAGCAAGATAAGGGTGACAGCAGTGCAGCCCCCCTCAGAAGGAGGGATTTTACAGTTCTTGAATTCACCTGCTGACAAAAGCATCTGAGACCGTGTATAGTAAAACAAGGGATTACAGGATCTAGACTCAGAAGACCCAGGCCCAAGCCCTACTTGACTATACCCACCTTTACAACAAGTTCTACCTTTCTGGGCTTCCTTTTCTCAGGGGACATTCTCCAGCCTATGAGGCACTAAACAAGGATCAGTCGAAGCTCTGAGCATTGTAACCATGTTTCATCTTCAGTTTCTCTGGCAAGGCGCAGATAAAAAGGAAACCTAGAGGTTTCCCCACAATTACCATTTGACTCGTTCCAAAAAAGGACAGGGAGATCTGTGACAGAATCAGAAGAATGGGTCAAGTACCTGAAGGAGCTAGGGGCAAGGCAAGAAGCAGAGTGGCCTTGGAACAAGGTGGCAGTGACTTGCTGGCCTCTGTCAGGATCTTCACTCGCCCAGGCATGCAGCCTTTAGTGAAGCCAGTGCCTTGCTATTTCCAGTGCTAGGTGAGTAAGGCCGAGACCCTGCCCTTGAGGAGTTCATGGTTGAGGAGAGGAACAAGAAATGTAAAACCCAGACCAGAAATTTAAGGTGCCTTAACAGAGGTTCATGCGGCGTACCGGGGGCTGGAAGACAGAGACACAAGCGGCTCTTCCGGAGAGGAGGGGTGACCAGAGAAGACTTCTCAAATGCCGTGCCACACGTAGCCTGCTGTTGGAGCAGCTGGGGATTCATCAGGAAGCCCAGAGTAAAAGGGATTTTCAAGAAAAAGCAAATAGCAGGCAACATGGCATTAAGGAAACTACAGAATGTTGGAGTGGGGTGGATGAGGGTAGGGCAGGTAGATAAGCAGCCATGAAAAACCACGGGGGAAGGAAACTGGACTTTATCCTATGGGCAGTGGGACACAATGAGGGGTTCAAGTAATCAAGTTTTGTGATCTTATTTGCATTTTATAGTGGACACTCTGACAGTAAGCAGGCGGGGAGCAGGCAGCTGGTGTAGCAGAGGCAAGACAGGAGGAGAAAGGGACAGACAGATCTCTGACAGAACTCGTGGGATGTGTCAGTGGTTTGAAGTGGTGGAGGAAGGGGGAGAGAAAAGTCTTGGACGAATCCCAGGGTCTCTGAATTATGCAACAGGACACAGAGTGGAATTGTTAGCCGGGGACTTGCTGGTGGATAGACACCACACCAAAGGGACAGTCCTGGTTGAGGAGAAAGTCTGGGAATCCTCAGACCACCGGCAGCACTAAAAGCCAGAACGGGCAGAAGATGGATGGCGGTCTCAGAGGATGGCCTGAGAGAACCCCTGGGGGAACCCAACCTAAAGGGCTACCAGGGGAAACCAGCACAACGGCGGCAGGAAGACTGCTCAGAGGTGGGCAACCTGGAAGAGGGTTTTGAGTTTCAAGAAGAAATGATCGATGCTGTCAAATGACCAGAGAGTAGAATACAGGAATACAAAATCCCTAATGGACCTAGTTTTAGGAAAATGTGAGCATGTTCTTCACCTGAGCAGGTAAGGAAGACAGAAGCTGACTGACAGCCGTAGGTCGGAAAGTGATGGAGAAGTAAGGAAGACACTAAGATAAACTATTCTCTGAAGAAACTTCTAGGAAGACACAAGGGCGGAGCTGAAGAGGATTCAGGTCACTAAGACAGAGAGATGCAGATGCAGGCATGGAGTGCAGAGGAGACCCCCAAAGATGAAGAGCTTGCAGAGGAAGGGACGCTGGCAACAAATGGTAGGAGTAAGGGCCAGGAGCAGAAAGAAAGGTGACCTGCTGGGACACCTGGGTGGCTCAGTCAGTTAAGCGTCTGCCCTCTGCTCACGTCACCATCCCGGGGTCCTGGGATGGTGCCCCACCTTGGGCTCCTTGCTCAGTGGGGAGTCTGCTTCCCCCTCTGCCGCTCCCCCTGCCTGTGCTCTCTCTCTCTGACAAATAAATGAATAAAATCTAGGAAGGAAGGAAAGAAGGAAGGGAGGGAGGGAAGGAGGAAGTAAAGGTGACCTGCCCACTGGGTTTGAGGGCAGAAGAAAGGTCACCTCTTTCACCAGAGATTGGCCCAGAGGGAAGACAGAGGTCACCCAAGATAAGCTTACAGCATCCACAAAGGTGAGCGAATGAAGTAAAAAGGCAAGGGGTGGGGGGGTGGGATGCAGTGAACCACAAGAAGGAAACAAACTTTCCCTCTGCACAAGGAATCTGCATGTGGCATTTTCTGAGAGCTGAGGCCTTTGCCACAGGAGCGCTAGGCCTGCTTGGTAAGGCATGATCAATAGGAAAAAACCGGCAGCCAGCCCGCTGTATGTGGTTTAGATTCCCATGCTCTCCCAAGCGCGCAGGGGGCACTGGCAGCGGGCTGGGCACTGGGATGCCCACCAGGTCCTGGCTCCCAAGGGCCTCCAGGCCAATGAAGTGCTGCTGCCCAGCTCAACTCCGCCATCTGGACAGGAGAGTGAAGAAAGCTCTTCCTCAAGCTGAGGACCAAGACAACCTATTTCCCCTCAGCACTATTTTCTCTCAACTTTGCTTCTAATCATCTTCTTCTTTTTTTCTTTTTAAGATTTTATTTATTTGTCAGAGAGAGAGAGAGAGAGAGAGACTGAGAAAGCAGGAGCAGCACAGGCAGAGGGAGAAGCAGGCTCCCCGCCAAGCAAGCAGCCTGACATGGGGCTCAATCCCAGGATCCTGGAATCGTGACCTGAGCCGAAGGCAGACGCTTAACAGCTAAACCACACAGGCGCCCCAACTTTGCTTCTAATCTTTTCCGTGACGAGCCTGGAAAGCAGAGCTGTCGGCCTAAGCAAGTCTTTGGCTACTAGGCTCAGAAGGACTTGGTTCTGGGAGAAGACTTGAAATGTGCCTCTGGGTTACTGCCTAGGCCCCTCATGCAGGTGGAGGACAGAGCCTTATCCTGGGCGCGTGTATATGCGGGGAAGGGGCTGGCACGGAAAGGGGTTCAGTGGGAAGTCTCCGGTGCTAAAATGCCTACAGACTTGCACAGCCCAGCCGGACAGGGGCACCAACGTCAGGAGACCACGCTTTTACTCTTTTTGACTTATATTTAAATACCATTTCCTAAAGTGGTCAGTTAAAAGTCCTCTCTTGCCAAACTGGAAAATGATACGTCTAAATAACAACTACATTCGAGGTTATTTCGGGGAGTTGCAAGGAAAGAGTGGTCACCTTAACATTGCCATACAAGCCAAACACTTCTTCCTTGGCGGTATTTTCTTATCCTTC